TGAGCAGAAAGCTTTTTCCAGCCTGAAAGCCATCATCCTGCTGTGCGCGGTGCTGGCGCTGACCATCGCCACGGTGCCCCTGCTGGGCGGCAGCGAGTACAGCGCCTCCCCGCTCTGCCTGCCGCTGCCCTTCGGGGAGCCCAGCACCACGGGCTACATGGTCGCGCTGGTCCTGCTCAACTCCCTTTGCTTCCTCGTGATGACCATCGCCTACACCAAGCTCTACTGCAACCTGGAGAAGGGAGACCTGGAGAACATCTGGGACTGCTCGATGGTGAAGCACATCGCCCTGCTGCTCTTCACCAACTGCATCCTTTACTGCCCCGTGGCCTTCCTGTCCTTTTCCTCGCTGCTTAACCTCACCTTCATCGGCCCCGAGGTCATCAAGTTCATCCTCCTGGTGATTGGCCCGCTCCCTGCCTGCCTCAACCCCCTTCTCTACATCCTCTTCAATCCCCATTTTAAGGAGGATCTGGGGAGCCTGGGGAAGCAAGCCCACTTCTGGGCGAGGTCCAAGCACTCGAGCCTGATGTCCATCAACTCCGACGATGTTGAGAAACAGTCCTGCGACTCGACCCAAGCCTTGGTGACGTTCACCAGCGCCAGCATCGCCTACGACCTGCCTTCCAACGCGGGGTCGCCATCCACTTACCCAAAGACGGAAAGCTGTCATCTGTCATCTGTGGCATTTGTCCCATGTCTCTAATGAAATGGGAGAGAAAAAGTTTCCAAAAATTGAAAACCCCAAAATGTGAGGTCGGGTATATCTGAGCAGTAACTAAACAGAGTTGAAACTTGTTTTAAAAAAAAAAAAATCTGTATCTCAGTGGAAAAAAAGGTGGAAATCTATTGAGACTGGAGTGAAAAATAAGTCTAAATGCTGCTTGTATAATTTGTTCAGCAAAGAGATAGGTCAGTCACACTATTTAGGGAAGCCCATATTTTTTTTAAGCAGATGGAAATATTCAAAAGAGATTCTCCATTATTCAATTGAATTCTTTTTAAAATCACTACTCTAAGGAGTGCGGGGGAGACCCTTACTCACAAAAAAAGGTTTTCAACCCCCCAACTCCTCAAAAGATGAAAAGATGGTTGGGGAGTATTAGGAAAATAAGGGTTTTAAGTGGCCTATGGTACCAAGTAAAGTTGTAACCAACAGGATTTCATTTTAATGACCACGTGGAGATGTTTTAGTCCTCCTTTGCCTTTCCTCAAAAAGGATCCTTCCATGTCACCCATTTCCCCTCAACCCAGTGAATGGATAAAATAAGGCATTATTAATTTGCTCACATTCACATCATTTTTAGACATGCCGGATTTTATTTATCAGCACTAGATGGTTCCATCCTAAGTGGAATAAAACTGCTTACAAATATTTTGAGAGGAAGATGAACTAAAATTCTTAAATTGCCATGAAGGCAACCCTCTCAGGTGAGGAATGCCTTGTTGAATTCATTTTAACTCCTTGGTGCCCAAAACTCAGAAGAAAAGTCTGTTGCCGGCAATGGACATACCTAGTGAATGTGGTAAGCAGCCTGGGATTTCTTTTTTCTTTCTCCTGGGCGAGCATTTTTCGAAAGAGGTTTTATCAGTTGACTCAAACTGATGTGTATCTTAAGGTAATGATCAAATGCAGACATGACATAAATTAAATCCACCAACATAACTTCTCACACATGCATCTCCAGTAGCTCTAGCAACAATGTCTGAAATCACTTTGGACTCAACAGAGACTTGGTAACATATTATCCTGTTTATTTAGCTTGGTTTTAGCTGTGTTGTCTTTGGATCAACTCATTTGATGTCAGGAACATGATTTCTCTGCTTATTCCATATTTAATACATGTGTTAGGTATTTTAAGAGGCAAGATTATTAAATACTAAAGGTCAAAGGATTAATTTGTAACTTTATTATACTACATTAGCTTCAATACATTCAAACCAAAAGACTGTTAGGTAGATTTATTTTTATATAAGCATGTTTATTTTGATCAGATGTTTTAACTTGGAAGTGAAAGAAATACATTTATGAGATGTTTTATAATATGTGTAAATATAGAACTGTATTTATTACTACGGTAAAGATTCAGTAATACAAAGGACCATGATAATAAACCATGTACAGTGGCATATTCTTCCATATATATTGTTTCTCTGCCCATTTTCTTTAAATTCATTAACTGTATATAATATATGTAAGTGTATAGTACTTGTAAATAGATTCCAAACTTGCTTTTCTATTGGGTACAAAATAAATTTGTAATAAAATGTGTGACTATAAAAGAAAATATCTTTAAATCTTTTATTGAGCCCATTAGGCAAATATATGGTCTCCTAAATGTTTTTGACTTTTGATGTGTAAGTACACTTTCTGTCTAAGTATTTACACCTCAATATGTTAGATATTTTGGACTTATCTTAAGAAGTAAATCTTTCACAAGAACGAAAAAAAATGTCTTAACCAAATCCTGGACTGTTTTAACTGTGATTGATAAGCCATTTGTCATGACAAATGACTCGGTGAAGCTGATTGTCCCAGGGGTAGTTTGGATTTCATAGCCAGAACCTATTTCTTGTGCAATGTGAAAAGAAAAAAATAGAAATATATAAATACCAAATCAACCTTAAAATTATTTAATATGAACATGGTTTTTCTATAAAATATTCCTTTAAAGAAAACATATTGCTTTTTTCTCTTATTCTCCAGTGAGGTGACAGCAGACCCACCTTGGATCACTTCTTTCCTATAACGTTTCTAGAGAGCCAAAGCAGCCTCACCTAGGTCTCCTGTTGCTTCTTCTACCCTAAGCCCTTCCTTTGTTTCATTGTCCCCAGCTTTTCGGCTGCTGTATTGTCCCCAGCTTTAATAAGCGTACTTGCAAAATAAAAAAATTAAAATTATATATTATATCCTATATAATAAAAGAGTAATATGCAAATTGACCCTAATGGTGGAACAACTGGTCGCTATGACACACAGTGACCACCAGGGGGCAGACACTCAATACAGCAGCAGCGCTAAGAATGTCCATCTAAGGATGTCCGACTAACATCTTAGGCCTGCTCCCCAGTGGTCCTCAGCTGTTAGTCACACATCCCCCAAGGGTTCTTGGGCTGCCAGAGGGATGTCTCATTGCCAGGTTAGGCCCGAGCCCCCAGGGAGCAGGCCTAAGCCAGCAGGTGAATGCTGGGGTCCAAATTTGCTGGGAGCCGGTCCATCCTTGCTGTTTCAAGGGACCTGGCATATATGACATACTGTTCTTAATATGTTTGCTCATCTTCTTGGCACTATGTGTTTTAACCAAGGTCACCTCTCCAAGAAAGGTTGTTTCCCCAGGTAGAGATTTTCCCCTGAAGTTAAGGAGGGAATAAAACCCCTTCACTAAGTGCCAGGTGGGTAATTAATCTCTTTAACTACGAACAATCATGCTTAAGCTACATAATCTTTACTCCCTGGAATGCAGATAAAATAA